CCTCCTCCTCCTCTTCATCATCATCATCATCATCATCATCGTCATCATCTTCTTCTTCTTTCCTCATCCTATACTGCTCTTCTCTCCCTGTCACACATTCGGTTCTCTTTTGCTCTAATCCTTTCACCCTTTTGCAATCCTCGGGAGAGGGTTGAGGGGTTTTTACGAGCTGATGTCGGTAATAGTTGAAGTCATGTGTTTACCAGATTACTGCGCGCGATTTCCATCGTTAAGACTCTTATAATGACGTATAAAACACACACGTTTTCTAGTGGCCCTTAATTCAACCACCTTTAATTTACTCTTGGACCTTTTCTTACTTCAGCTCAGGAAACTGATGGAACACTGCGATTGACTTCTCCCCCTCGTTTATTCGTGCCAATTAATGACGCCGTCCCCTGACTACGCCTACGCGTCCTTGAAGAAAACAAATTCTCGCGATGCCTGCTCAGTCCAACACATGGGGTTCGGCATTCATGGCTCATGTTGGGCCGTGAATTTTTCAGGGTTCTTGAGTTTCCTCCCATTTCAAAATAGAAATGTTCTCCCTCATGTTTGGGCGTGGCCAGTCTCCGACGTTTACAAATTTGGGGGCGTCAAATGATTGCACTTTCCTGTTTGTTCGTTCGCAGGTCTGGTCAGATCGCACAATTCTGCCCTGACCTCCCAGTTTCTCCCCCTTCGGTGTAATGAGGCTGATCAGATGACCCTGGAGGTCATGAACTCCCTCTTATCTGCAAACAACGCCTTTGGTATATACTCGGAGTCTCCCTTTTTGCACCCCATCATCCTCCTCCGGCCTGTACGGTTCGCTTCCCCGGCCACCGTCCCATTTCAACATCCCGATCCTGAGAACATGGTCCGTACGTTGCGAGATCTGGCAGATCAGAAGGTGACTAGTATCCCCCTGCTGGCTATTCTCTCGGGTGCCAAGCCAAGTGCCGCCTCCCTGGGTTTCTACACTGGCTATCTGACCTGCAGTTTCACTCTCGAACTCGACAATAATACGATGCCTATTCTGGTGGATCAGTCACGGCAACCGCATGAGTGCGTCTGCGCTTCGTGCTTGTTTGTTTATCTTCTAATCAGCATTCAGCATCCTGATTTTCTTGTTGATAAACAAATTGGTTACTCAGCCGAATATCTACCTGGTTCTGAGGTCTGGATTGACGATTTTGAATCTCGCATTATCGTTTTCTTGAATACCACTAGTCTGCGGAAGACACGGACAATGGTGGGAACTGGTGTATTCCCCGTCTGTTGTCCGTTATTTGTGTGTGGCGACATTTTCAACCGTCTTCTGTGGAATTCTGGGAAGGCCAGAAGTTGCCAGTTAATTTATCTTGGCCAGGTCCGATAAATAGACGTATCTCGATGAAAGTGAGTAATGGGCAGAATTAATTGAAAAGGAAAATAACCGTGGACAGTCACTATGGGAAATTCAGACTCGCTCGCACATTGATTAGGAAGGACTTTGAATAAAGAGTCCTGAGCAGCTTTTGCGGAAGTTTTTTGAAACTTGTAGGGCTACTAAACTTAAGTTCACTTTTTTTAGGTTTTAATGCTGACATTATTGTAGGGGGAAAATTAAGCATGAAGGGAGTCGCTCCTCTTTATAACAAAATCCCACCTCTGGTGCATGATATTAAAATTTCCTATTAAGTTTGGATCCCTTCACATGTAATTATCAGTGTAGTCGAGCTATAAATCGCCCATCGGCAATCGCAGTTCTTTCGACAACCGTTTAGGCACTGAGTCCCTTTAAGCACCAATATTTCTAGTTAGATTTCCGTTAACTAACCCCTCCTCCCCAATGAAGCAACGGACTCCTGCCTTCAACGCTGCCTTTCAAGATGATATGTCTTCCTTTTGATAGTTAAACTTGCTGCCGCCTATTTTCGTCTTGTCTTTGTGCTTTAGCCGCGCTGACAAGTACCGTCTCATTCTTCGGTTGGCCTGGGCCACGGCCGGACTTTACATGCCACGTGATAAGTTCAATCCCTCTCGCGTGCTGGCCTGCGAAGTGCTACCTCGCTGTCTCTCCGTCCGCGTTGCTCGTCGCAATGTCACGCTTCCCGATCCCATCTTTCATGGCGGCCAGGCGCAGAAATTTGGTCATCGTCTTCGATTCGCAATTGACATCACTGACAAGGTTGTTTTTCTGTTCCCACCCGTCCACTGCATGTCTTGGCTTCTTTAGATTAGACCTCCAAAAGAGAGGGAAGGAGAAGAAGATGGACCAGTCATGGGGAAGGTTGGAGGTTTTGAA